CTCTCTCGCTCGCTTTCTTGACTCTCTCGCTGTCTTTCTCTCTCGCTGTTTCTCTCTCTCTCTCTCTCGCTGTCTTTCCTTCTGTCTTTCCTAGTCCATCATTCCCTATTTATCCCTCATTATATCTCAACAACGATTATATCTTTGATCATATATCACCGCGATCATATCTCTGATCATATATCACCTCGATCATATCTTGGATTATCTCTCATTATATCTCGCCACGATTGTATCTCATTATATCTCGCCTCGATTGTATCTCATTATATCTCGCCTCGATTGTATCTCATTATATCTCGCCACGATTGTATCTCATTATATCTCGCCACGATTGTATCTCATTATATCTCGCCTCGATTGTATCTCATTATATCTCGCCAGTATTATATCTCACGTTATATCTCGCCGTTATATCTCAGCAGGATCATCTACTTACCTCTCTCTCTCTCTCTCTTTCTCCCCCGCAGTTTCCTCGACCGCGTACACATAGTGCGGCAGAACGACTACACCCCGACGGAACAGGATATTCTCCGGTGTCGAGTCCTCACCTTAGGCATTTTTGAGACAAGATTTCAAGTAGATAAAGTTAATTTCCAGTGAGTATTCTCGTGGGTGTGTGTGTGTGTGTGTTTTTTTTTGGGGGGTGGGGGATGGGATGGGGATGGGGATGGGGAGGGTAAGTGTGGGTGTTTTTTTTTTTTTGTTTTCTCTCGTACTCTCTTTCTGTCTCTTGTCTCTGTTTGGTTCTTTCTCTCATTCTCTTTTTTCTCTCCCTCAACCTCTCTCCCTCCCCTCCCTCCCGCCTCTACCTCTCTCGCTCCTTCCCACCCTCCCTCCCCTCCCTCCCTCCCTCCCTCCCTCCCTCCCTTTCCTCCTTACTCCCTCCCTCCCTCCCTCCCTCCCTTTCCTTCTTCCTCCCTCCCTCCCTTTCTTCCTCCCTCCCTCCCTTTCCTCCTCCCTCTCTCCCTCCCTCCCTTTCCTCCTTCTTCCCTTTCTCCCTTTCCTCCTCCCTCCCTCCCTCCCTCCCTTTCCTCCTCCCTCCCTCCCTCCCTCCCTTTCCTCCTCCCTCCCTCACTCCCTTTCCTCCCTCCCTCACTCCCTTTCCTACTTCCTCCCTCCCTCCCTTTCCTTCTCCCTCCCTCTCCCAAATCCCTTCCCCTTCCCCTTCTCCATCTCCCCCACCCTCCTCTTCTCTCGTCATAGCGTAAAAATTGACCTTGAGATCTCCCCCCCCTCCCCCTCCCCCTCCCCCTCCCCCCCCCCTTCCATCCATTCCCCTACCTTCATTGAACACGTGTTCCCGCAGTAGGAAACTTGTATAGCTATTTATATACACATTCACCTGGACAAAACTTGCACTCGATTATCCACATCCACAAACATTCACATCCACATAAACATAAACATTTACATCCACATAAACATAAACATTCACATCCACATAAACATAAACATTCACATCCACATAAACATAAACATTCACATCCACATAAACATAAACATTCACATCCACATAAACATAAACATTTACATCCACATAAACATAAACATTCACATTCACATCCACATAACACTTCAAGCGGTCAGATCCACAGACTTGGATATACAGGTGCACACGCTTTGATATACACATGCAACTTGATGTACACATACACATACTTTTGGACATGTACATATATACTTGGATATACACATACACTTGGACATACACATACCCATACACTTAGATATGCATATACACACATACACTTGGACATACACATTCACATACTCAGATATATACACATACACATATACTCAGACATACAAACACATACACTCAGGCATACACATACACATACACTCAGGCATACACATACACATACACTTAGGCATACACATACACATACATTCAGGCATACACATACATTCAGACATACACATACACTCGGACATACACATACACTCGGACATACACATACACTCAGACATTTTTTCTTCTTCTTCTTCTTCTTTTCCCTTTTCCCTTTCTTTTATCCAATTCTCCGTCTCGCTGCGTATTCTTTTCGCGGTGGGTATTTTCCCATTTTTATTTTGTGTTTATTTTGGTTTGATGACTGTAATTACTATAATTATCAACATTGTTAGTGTATAGTTTATCCTAGGTAATAATTGTTAGTATTTAGTTTATCCTAGGTAATAATTGTTAGTATTTAGTTTATCCTAGGTAATAATTGTTAGTATTTAGTTTATCCTAGGTAATAATTGTTAGTATTTAGTTTATCCTAGGTAATAATTGTTAGTATTTAGTTTATCCTAGGTAATAATTGTTAGTATTTAGTTTATCCTAGGTAATAATTGTTAGTATTTAGTTTATCATAGGTAATAATTGTTAGTATTTAGTTTATCATAGGTAATAATTGTTAGTATTTAGTTTATCATTGGTAATACTAACCCCCATTCCCCCCCCCACAGTATGTTCGACGTGGGCGGTCAACGCGACGAGAGGCGGAAGTGGATCCAGTGTTTCAATGACGTCACGGCCATCATCTTCGTCACCGCTTGCTCCTCTTATAACATGGTCCTCCGGGAAGACCCCAGTCAAAACCGGCTGCGGGAGTCGTTAGATCTCTTCAAAAGTATATGGAACAACAGGTGAGGAGAGTAGTAGTAGTAGTAGTAGTAGTAGTAGTAGTTGTAGTAGTAGTAGTAGTAGGTTTTTTTTTTTTTTTTTTGGGGGGGGGGGGGGGAATAATTAGGGTGTGTTGGGGTAGGAGGAGGAGGGGCATCTTGTTGGGGAGAGGGGGGGTGGGAGATGGAGTCTGAGGGGGGGAGTCTGGGGTGTAGATAAGAGGAAGGGCTAGCGTGTGCTCCATTCTCGCCCTCTCTCCCTCGGGTTTATCGTGGCCGCTTGTGTCCCGGTTACCGTACCACCCCAGGGTAGTACAGCGTTGGGGTGGGAGGGGGAACAGACGGATCTCTCTCGGGGGGGTAGGGGTGGTGGTGGTGGTTTGGTTCTTTTGTGTTGATTTCGGGGTAGGAGGGACGTCTGTTCTTGGCTTCCCCCCCTTTATTTTTTTATTTTTTATTATTATTATTTATTTATTATTTTTTGTTGTTGCATGGGGTCTTTGTAGGAGGGCTTGCTTGCGGGGGTCGTAGTTGCGGCAGGGCTGACGGAGGTAACTGGCTTGGGCCGAGCTTGAGACTGGAAACTTGGGGGGTGGGTGTGGGGGGTGGGGGGATCTGTGGTCGTGGGGATCCTATTTTGGCTTGTAGGGATGGTCTCTTTATTTTAGCTTATTTGTTCTTACAACTTTTGTTATTGTTGTTTTTATTTATTTTATTCATTATTACTATTATTTTTTTTTTTTTTTTTCTAGGGAGAAAGGGGATTATTAGGCACTTGTATTTGATGATAGATTAATATATTATTGAAGATAAAAAAAAAATCAAGATATAATGGAGTTGCATAGTATATACCATCCTCATGTGTTTTTTTTTTTTTTCTTTTTCTCAGTATTTATTCAATATGTACGGCAATCAGATCTTTATTTTTGCTATAATTATTTTCTCACATGGTTTTTCATTACTGATTTTAAGTTCAGAGGCAAGTGACTGTACACGTTGACAGCGGTTTCTTGGGTTCAGTGCATGCTCTACTGGTCTCCTGTTGGCTGGCTTAATGATTGCGCTTTATTTAGTAGTAGTATTTTTCTGCAGATGTGACATTGAGATATTTAATAATAATGATAGTAATAGTAATAATGATGATGATGATGATGATAATAGTAATAATATTAATGATAGTATAAACATTAACAATAATGTAACAATAACTTCCATTGTGATTTTTCTGTAATATTCATTAGTATGTACTGCTTATGAGTTGTGATGAGCTGTAGTTCACCAGACACAAAATTTCATTTGTGTGTAACTCTTAATGCAACTAATACATGAATGCAACATTATTTGTATTGAGAGTAATGGTGTTAGGATTGTGGTGGCAGAGTTCCCACCCACCTCTCTCTCAGTATAACCAGCACATGGTGTTTCTGATATTGAAAATTATTTTACTTAACTAACCATGCTAACTTTTGACATAATGATGTTATGACGTTAATACGATAATGTGCAAGAAAATGGGAGAAGAATGTTTAAATGTGGCATCACAAAACTTCACAACCAACAAGACACAGTAGTTACTTCGTGTGTGGTTGTTCCCTGAATAAATAATAGAATGAATCTTTGATGATATGATTGTGTGATAAGATTTTGTTCTCAAAAAGTGTGTTTGTAAAAGAAGAATTGCATGCATTAAGAAGTAAATGCAGTATATATTTTATCATCTGCTCATTATAAACATGGAGGCTGCCCATACAACAGATTATAAGAAGAGCTTGTTATGAATATGCACATACATACATCACACACACAGATGCACATACATCACACACACAGACGCACATACATCGCACACACAGACGCACATACATCGCACACACAGACGCACATACATCGCACACACAGACGCACATACATCGCACACACAGACGCACATACATCACACACACAAACGCACATACAGGATATATTAAAGTCCTTCTGAGGGATGGTCTCTCATACTTTGGCCTTCTCCCAGGTGGCTACGCACAATCAGCATCATCCTGTTTCTAAACAAGCAAGACCTCCTGGCAGAGAAGATCCGGGCTGGGAGGAGCAGGTTAGAAGATTCTTTCCCTGACTTTGCTCGGTATCAGACCCCACTCGATGCTACCGTGGAACCAGGAGAAGATCCAGAGGTGGTGCGCGCAAAGTACTTCATCAGGGATGAATTTCTAGTGAGTTTTCGCTCCAGTTCAAGTTCGTTTCACTGTTTTATTTATATTTCGAGGACAGTGTTTGAGGTTTGTTGTGAATATGGCATTGGAAATTGCTTTAGATTATGCATTAAGTGTTTTTGTCGTTTCATGTAAATAATGTTTAAAATTTATATATTTATTGAAATTTATTATTTTTCCCCCGTTGGAGTTTGTTGACTTACTAATGAAAATGATATATTATTCAAAGATATAAAGAGAGAAAAGTCATTAGAACTTGATTATAAACCCTTTTCCTCCCCTTTGCAGAGGATAAGCACGGCAAGTGGTGACGGCAAGCATTATTGCTACCCTCACTTCACATGCGCCGTGGACACGGAAAACATCCGCCGAGTGTTCAATGACTGCAGGGACATAATACAAAGGATGCACCTCAGACAATATGAACTTTTGTGATGGCCAGTAGGTGTGGGTACTGCGGGCGGCAACAGTATAGCTCCGTGCGAGCGAGCGAGGCAGGCAGGCTGGGTGGAATGGGGCGGGGGATCCGGGAGGACAGAGTGACCCTCCCCGTCTAGTCTCCTCAGAGGATGGTTCTCGCTCCCTCAGGACTTCCTCCCCCCCTCTTCGCCCGCAAAAAAAAAAAAAAAAAAAAAAAAAAAAAAGCTTTCCCCTGCGCCTCAAGCGTGGCACAACATCAACTTTCCTCAACCCAGTTTTTGGTTTAGGTCCTCGTTTTGTTTTCTTACAAAAAATAAAATAAAAAAAGATATGAACGCTACAATGTGATTGTAGATATAGATCAATGGTATCCCCCTCCCCTGTCCCCTCCCCCCTTGCCCCAACACCCTTACCCCCTTTCCTTTTTTTCCCCTTTGTCCCTCCTCCCTCACCCCATTCCCCTCACCCCATTCCCCTCACCCCCCCAAATATTGGAAGATCTCTATATATTCATGAAATAAATCTTCTCTTGCTCTGTCTCTCCTGGGTGTGTGCCGTGGCTGCCCCAAGCCACTGCTCCACGAGACTCTCTCTCTTGTGATGCAAATTCAAGCTCAAAATCCTTCTCAACTTCTTAACCACGGAGTACTGACTGCTTCACAGTACTCCGTGGTCAAGTTTCTCCCACTCTCACTTCCCCCCCTCTTTTCTCTCGGAAACGTTACGGCCTCTCCTCTGAGCGATTAGCGGATTAAATCTCCTTTCCCCCCCCAACCCCCCTCTCGTGATAGATATCGATACCTTGGATGATGAAACTGGGATACTTTTACATGGACATACAACAGAATTGTTCCAAACGTAGACTACTTAGCGCGTGATGTATCCTTGTCAAGCATATTCACCCCCCCTCCCCCCTCTCCCCACCCTTTCCTCCTCCTCCTCCTCCAGTCCCTGTTCTACCTTTGTTCCCTGCCCCTTCCTCTGCCCCCACCCCCTCCCCTCCCCTCCCCCAATCATCGGACTATCTTTGCCGTTTATTCCCCCCCCTCCCCCCCACAGATGATCTAGTTTCCACCACAATGCCACATTGGACTCCTAGCCCCCCCCCCCCTTTCAGTCCCTCCCCCTCCCCCTCTCCCTCTTTCTCTGTGTCCGACTCCTTTTTCTTCGTCCTTCTTCCCCTTTACCTTGTTCTGTCCCCCCCCCCCCCACTCCCCCCAAGCCCACTTGGATCTACTGTATGTGCCCTGTTTTCCACTCCCCCCTCCCCCTCCCCCTTCCCCTTTCCCAGTTTAGCAACTGCCCAACTCTTCAAAGTTAGGAGTATTGTCAATTGATTGTGTGCAAAATTAAAAAAAAAAAATCTCTCTTGATTTAGAAGTCTTGTTTCACAAAAAATAAAAAACCTTAAAAAAAAAAAAAAAAAAAAAAAAAATGTTCTGTCTCATGCTTTTGGTGTCCATATTTTTTGCTAATTTTATAAATATATATAATATAATAATATAATATAATATATATATATATTATGTTGGTGGTATGTGAGCCTATATTTATGTCGGAGGGCGTGGAGTGAGCTCAAAGTCTTCGCCCTGTCAGTCTGTCGTAGGCCTGGCAATTTTATGAGTTTTTATCTATTTCTATTTATTTTATCTGTCAAACACACCAGAGAACTGCTTTTGTGACTCTTTGCTTTTGTGGAAGAAATCTCAATTAGAAGGAATTTATTTTGTACTTTTTTAATTTATTAAGTAATAAGTGCAACCAAGTAGACTGGTGATAATTATTTGTGTAGACGTGAATGTGTTTTTAAAGACCCACCAAATTGTGCTATAACAACTGAGTTATGGATCAGTTTTTGCAACCAAAAAATTTTTTTTTTTTTTCTCCCTCCCCCAAGCTTTACAAATTTCACTACTGAGTAGTCTTTAAAAAAAAGAAAAAAAAAATAAATAAAAATAAAAACTTGTGTTTCAACTGCTGGCACCTCTCTCTTCTGACCCTCAAGAGGCAAGATTACATCCGATTTTCCTTTGGTTCCAGTTCTTGCCGCGAGAGGCCGCTCGGATCTTGACCGAATCTCGGGAAGGAGCGGCCGTTTCGCGCTGACTTTCCGATTATTTGTTTTATTTGATCTTTTTTGGTTTGCCTGTTCTTTATCATTGTTATTACTCCAATGGATGTTCTTTTCTTCATTTACGTTGCAATTGTTGTATTTTGGTCTGCATTGCGTTGGGTGGCAGGAAGGCGAGAGGTGCTGGCATACAGGAGGGCGTGAATGAACCCCCCCTCCCCCTAGCAGTGAGGAGTGGGAGCCCAACCGGTCGCTGCGTGGCCCGGCCGCCTCACTCGGTTCCGGGCAGGAGCAGCGGCCCTGGCCTGGGCTCTCAACCCTCCACGCGATGTGCACGCTGTATTGGCCAGCAGTGCATTGGCGGACGGCAGCGAAGGAGGCTGTCTTTGCTGTGCTGAATGTAGGAGTTACGGAAATGAAAATGAGTAATATACATCTGTCAAATGGTGACAAGTGAAAGATTTTTTTTTTTTTTCTCCCTCCCCCAAGCTTTACAAATTTCACTACTGAGTAGTCTTTAAAAAAAAGAAAAAAAAAAATAAATAAAAATAAAAACTTGTGTTTCAACTGCTGGCACCTCTCTCTTCTGACCCTCAAGAGGCAAGATTACTGCCTGACTTTCCGATTATTTGTTTTATTTGATCTTTTTTGGTTTGCCTGTTCTTTATCATTGTTATTACTCCAATGGATGTTCTTTTCTTCATTTACGTTGCAATTGTTGTATTTTGGTCTGCATTGCGTTGGGTGGCAGGAAGGCGAGAGGTGCTGGCATACAGGAGGGCGTGAATGAACCCCCCCTCCCCCTAGCAGTGAGGAGTGGGAGCCCAACCGGTCGCTGCGTGGCCCGGCCGCCTCACTCGGTTCCGGGCAGGAGCAGCGGCCCTGGCCTGGGCTCTCAACCCTCCACGCGATGTGCACGCTGTATTGGCCAGCAGTGCATTGGCGGACGGCAGCGAAGGAGGCTGTCTTTGCTGTGCTGAATGTAGGAGTTACGGAAATGAAAATGAGTAATATACATCTGTCAAATGGTGACAAGTGAAAGATTTTTTTTTTTTTTTTTCTTCTTTTTTTTCATGTATCTTCTTATTTTAATCCTTTTTATTTTCCTTGTCTTTTTTCATGTTTTTTCCTGTGTAGGATGAGGATGTCTGAACAACTTTGTGGGAAAAAGAAGTTTACTTGAAAAGTGCCAATATTGTACCCTAGGCTGAGAGCATAGGTGTAGCGGTGAGTTTGACGCACCAATTGTGTGAGTTTGGGCGGTGGTGTTGGACGGCACCGGGTGGTGGTGTTGTCGCAGGGTTGGTGCCGTGAGTCACTGTGGTCAGTCTAGTTGGTGGCTGGGGGGAGGGAGCCAGGGCCCCCCGTGCTCCCTGGAGCCCATGGCCCCTCCCAAACCGCCAGCCATTCCGCAACATGATAGCCGTGGTAATATTGGATTGTGGTTCTGAAGCCTGATGGGTTACCCACAACCACATCAATATCGTTTACCACGCACCTTAGTTAGGTGGCTACCGCTGTGGTCCCTCTACTTTGCCTGTACAAATCCCTTGTTTAGTCTGCCCCCAGGGCATAAACACCAGCTTGTGTTTTATGTTAGAGGCTTGTGTAGTGCGCCTAGAACACCAGATTGGTTTAGCTGCGCTTCAGTCCCAAATAGTCTCCAGGGAGCATCCCCCCCTCCCACCACCTCCACCTGCCCCTCCTCCCTTTGAGCTCCGCCCCTTCCTAGGGATCCCGTTCTCCTGGCCTGCTCTCCATGCCACGTTGCCTCTGCTGGCATCCCATGGCTGTCTCCCTGCCATGCTGCCCCTTCTAGCTCTGCCCACTCTATTCCCCACAGCCCCTCCTCCTGGTACCCCTCCCTCCCCTTCCCGTCGCCCCTCCCCGGCCCCCGAGAAACCCTGCCGTGACCCCCCCCCTCCCCCCCACGAGTCCCCAAGCCCTTTCTGGTTAGCAGGTAACGTTAATGGCCTCCTGGGCTGATAACCCCTGCGACGTCCCACCCGTAGAGACCAAGCCCAAACTGGTAGCCAACTCAGGCGGGAGGGAAATTCTGCTCGGAACTTGCCCCCCCAGCTTGATCCTTCTATCGTCACAATCCTCCCCGTGTAGTTATAACCTATTAAAAAAGTGTTACAGAAAATTAGAATACCTGATTTTATGTAATTGAATGTGTTTAGTTAATGTATACCAGCTCTGTGTATTGCTTTGTATCATGGCTAAAGTGTAGGCATACCTCTGGTTTAACAGTGAAGCAACAAGATCAGCTGCAGGAGTGGTGTGGGTGCGGGGCCAGTCGTCCTCCCTTTCCGACCCCTTCCCCGGGGGCTGCGGCCTGGCACGCGTCAGGCCCCTTGGTCGGCTGTCCCCCTCGGGTCGAGGTGCCGCTTTTGGAGGTGCAGGGGCTCCGCACACCCCGGGGGCTGCCCGTGGGCTGCCAACTTGTCTCGTCTCCCAGTGTTGGTGGCCCACTCACCCCCAGCTGCCCCCGCAGGTAAGCCCGCCCCTGCACCCCCACTCATGCACGCCCACCGCGCCCGCACCACCATAACACGTGGAAGCGGTTACTCGGATCCTGGGTTAACATTACTATCCTAGCACGTCAAATATATATTTCAGAAGTATATTTCAGATGAATTTATTCAAATGCTGCGTAATGGTCACTGTAAATTGTGTAATTGTGAATAAATTTACAATGTCTTATTTACAAGAAGCCTTTGAGTTTTCATTTTCCCTTATTAAATTGAAGGTTGCTGTATCCAAAGGAAACTGATTGCAAGATCTGGAATAAGATCTTCATCTTTCTACATACACACAAATAATGCTAAAATATAACAACTTAAACAAACCAGCATTTGGTTATATTGGTGAATCCTATATTATTGTTTGTAAGAGAAACAAGTCCCGCCTAGTTACTGAACATTTTTGCTATCTGGTACATAAGTTTCTCAAGTGACTTCATTGTAAGTAGTGTGCTGAAGCTCCAATACAAACTCTGGCGCCTTCATTTAAATGATTATTTACCAGATCTATTTCGATTGGATTATAGGTATGAGAAGAAAGCAAACAATGGTGCTTGAAGCATGGAGTCCTATAATCTCTGAAGAAAACATTTTGAAAAAAATACAAATTTTATTAACCCATTCGCGCCGGGTAAAAATGAACAAAAAATGGGGGAAAATGCTGTGCTCATATTTTATACTTTTTGTGAAATTTCTCTACACTAGATGGCTCTGCCTTACCTGATTTCATTTGGCGGGAAAATGTATTTTTTCTAGTACAATGAATATCGAGGGTTATTTTTATTATAATTATAATTACTATAATGTTAGTAACAGCAAAATAAGATAACGTATATTTTCGTAAATTAAAGAAAAGGGTAAACAGGCGAGACAGGCAGTACAAGTACAAGTGCAGCCATCTATGTGTAAAAACAATTAAACAAGTAGACTCGCAGTGGGCCCGTCACATATACGTGACACCCGGCGTGAATGGGTTAAAAAAGAAAAAAAGAAAGAAAACAAAGTGGGTTGGTTGCATAACATTACGATAAAATATTGTGACAAAAAGGGTAACACTTTGTTAATAATTAGTATAAGTAGACAGAAGAGGATGAAGAAGAGAAATAAAAGGAAAGCATGAGAAGAAATGACCATACAAGATTAGTTGAGGCCGAGGGCTGAGGGCCAAGGCCGGGGTGACCCCTACATTGGGCTTCAGTCTCCTCAGCTCCCCCACGACAACGAGCAAGGGATTGGGGGTTAAACTGATAACTCCATTTGTCAACCTCAACCTGAAATGCACCAAGTTCTAGTGAATGTTAATAAGTTAGATTCGACAATTGGAATATTATTCCTATATGAATTCACTAAGGGTTCTACGTGACAGTGTCTTTGCATTCTAGTGGTATGGTTAATGGTTAATGGTTAAAAGCAAGATAAATGTGCTAGACATCTAAGGTCATGTAGCACTATAGTTAATGTTAGTGAAAGGTGGTTGAGTTAGTGATTATTTGTTTAGGCTGGGCAAAGGAATTGGTGAGTTAAAGGGTTAAGGTCGGGTGTTAGATTAGATAAAGGATATGTATGCGTTTGAGGAAAGAGAACAGGTTGTTGATGCAGAAAGTGGGATTCTGCAAGGATGTCTGATAGGTTGGGAGGATAGGTGGGGGAAAGCAGAGGTACGGGCTGCTTCAAAACGTGGACAGGACAATAGGATGCGTGGGATTGAAAGGGGAACATTACATAATGAACATAGGGGTGGATCAGATTGTGACATCAGATAGGAGTGTGTTAGACGGGTGTGGCCAATGCGTAAGCGGGCGAGATCAGTCTCCCAACGTCCGATGAAATGGAGCTGACCAGGAGGAGATTGATAGTTTTACAGAATGTAATTTATTAGTGTGGAGGCTTGACCAGAAAGATTGCCATCGTTTATACAAGAAGGTCTTAAAGTGTGGGTAATAATCCGTGGCTGGGATACGTGAGAAGCGTGGTTGGTATGATGTGGACATAGCAGCGTGGCGTGCTAGTGTATCTGCCTGTTCATTGCCGGGGATTCCAACATGGCTGGGCACCCAGCAAAATTTGATTGTTTTATGGCGTGTGGACAGGTAGAACAACCAGTTCTGGATCTTACAAACAAGGGGGTTGGTGCTGTGTATTGACTTTATGAGAGTTAATGAGCTACGGGAGTCAGTAAAAATTGTAAAAGAGGAAGAGGAGAGTGAGTATATGTGTTTTAGGGCAAAAAGGATTTAAAATACAGTGAAACTCCCGCGTAATTTTGCATAGTCCTTTCTTCTCCTTTCCTTCTCTTCATCCCCATCTTCTGCCCACTTATCCTAATCATTAAATAATTATTAAAACCTTTTTTCCACAATGTTTTATTAAATTGCCACATGACCCTTGATGTCTGGCACATTTATTTGTTTAAACTATTAATTATTCTGGGAATATAAATATCGCCCAGTGCAATCTTCCTCACTCGGAGGCCCTGCCCCCAAGCCCCACCACGTCGCTCTATTTTGAATACGCCGCTAATGACATTAGATGTTGGCGCGGCAGAAGATTTTCATTAAATAAATAAATTAAGGGTATAGGGCGATTGCACCAAATGAAAAGTATCTGTCTGAGGAAGGAAGAGTAACATCGTGTAAGGAAAACTCCAAAAGAGCCTTTATAAAACAATCAACGGATACTATGGTAGAAATGGTAGTTGGAGAAGTATAAGAATAATCCAGAGAATGAAATGGAGGAACAGGAGAAGCTGGAGTATCAGGAAAATATCGGAGAGAGGAGGGCACCGGCGGACATATTGTGACGTAAGAGTCACGTGAGCATCCAGGAAGGAGTTCTAAGGATAATGGGGAAGGAAGAGGGGATAATGGAGAAGGAAGATAGGGTGTTTTGGGGAAGAGGGGTAGGGGGAACTTGAGGGCGAGGAGGATGGGTAAATACATGGAATGTAGATCGAATGGGAGTACAGGGATTGTATGGTGGATGAGGAAGTTCTCTTGGGTCATGTTTAGACGTCTTGTATGTCTTCAAGAGTTAGTTTCTGGAGGGGAGTTTTGTGGAACGTTTAGATCGTCCAGTGCAACAGGTAGAGTGATTGATTATTTAAAATTATCTGCCGCGTCAACAGCTTCAGGTAGAGTGAGGTGTTTAATGTTTTTAAGCAAATAAATGTGCAAGACATCATAGATCACATAGCACTATGACTGTGGTAAAGTATTGTGTGGGGAGGGATTTAAAGTTCTTTATTAGAGCTAAATGTCTTAGATTTCAATGGTTATTTGGCATTATAAGGTAGTATGGCAGTGAAAGTAGGAGAAAGGGGGAGTAAATAGAATAGGATATAGATTGACAGAAGGGCAAGGGTTAAGGATAAAGGGTGATTAGATCAAATGGAGGGTATTTGTGCGTGAAGGAGAACGGGCTGTTAATTAAAAAGGTAGGGGAGTCGTAGGGGAGTCCATGAGGATGTCCGACGGGTTGGACAGTCGGGGAAGAAGTGACAAGTAAGGAAAAACGAGGGAAAGGCTTCAGGAAAGTAGGATATGTGAGACTGAAAGAGGAACATTACATGTGGAGCATAGAGGTGGGTTGGAGTGTGACTTGGAGGTATGAATGCGTGAGTCCGGTGTGGCCTATCCGGCAAGGGCTGTTTCCCAACGTCTGTTCTGGTGGTATGGTGCCGAACAAGGAGATATGGAAGGTTTTATGGTTTGAAGTGTATTGGTGTTCAGAGATTGTAAACGTTTTTTTTCGATCTATCAATTTATTTCCAGGTGGATGACACATAACACTGACATAGACTGACATATAACACTTTTTTCATGTCATTAAGGCCTGTTCACACGACATGATCGGCGGACAACTGTAAAGGTGACGTCACAGGCGAAAAAACAACGAGTAAACTACTTGTTTACCGAGTAGTTTACCCACCTGTGACGTCATCTCTACTTCTGTCCGCACGTGTGGACAGGACTTAAATCAGCGATCGATAGATGGCAAACAGTATCTTATTACCCTGCTGGTTACCAAATGTGTACTTTTTGGTTCCTGGGAAGTAAATAGTATTTCCAAGCTGACCGTGGCTAGAAAGTACGAAGAGAGGCTATTATTTCTTTAAAATATTATATACATATAGTTTATACTTATGTCTATCTATGCTAGGGTTACTGAAAATGTATACGGTAACCTGTCTGGTTATCGATTATTTTACCGAAACCAAAATTAACGAAATAAATGCATAATTACTGAAGAAGGTTAAACAAATGAGAGACTTTTATATTTTATTACTAGTTACAACCTAATTATCTAGGATTCAATTATCATCTGAAATACAATGTGGAATCAATAGAAAAATAATACAGTAGATGAAACCCTATTTTTTCCGAAACCCAAAAAAATCGCTCAGATGAATTAACTAACTTTTTAAATCCAGGAAATATAAACACGATTATTTCTTATTTCTGCACGGCCTATAAATAGCACCTTCAATATACTAGACTGGAAACACAACACAGTGCCGAATACTACTAGCGGTGCCCCTACCTGCGACAGTAAAATAATAGCAGTGGCACTATAACTGGCACTAAAAAGTAGCGGCAGTGGTATTTCTACGGTGGCCCTGCTCTGGATGTACGCGCGTGTTTGTCTGTTTATGTGTGTGCTGTATGTATGGGTATATTTATTAATGTATGTATGTAATTGTCTAGTATTTCTACGGTAGCTCTGTGTGTAAATGTAAATGGATGTATGGATGTGTATGTACAGGAATATAGTTCCAAAACTGCACTTCTTGATCAAATAATATACAATTTGTTGTTGTTTTAGCGGTTGTACAACTGTTCATATTCTGGAAAGAAATTTCTGCCTGGGAAAGGCCGGCCACTATCAGCTAGTATATTTATATATATATAAATATTACGGATAACATATCTTGCTAACCAGCCGTTGCATACCCGCAGAGAAATTAGCATTCTAAGGCGCGGGATGCTGTTGCAAGGAGGCCAGATCCATTCTCTCCCGACTTTGACTTCAGCAATTGATCTGAGTGAGAGGAACTGACCGAGTGTGAACCCGGATTCCAATGCGATACACATACTCGTATATATTACACGCACACGCACACGCACACGCACACACAGATTTTGTGTATGTATGTATGTGTGTATGTATATCCATTTACCTATACCTACGCTTATTTTTCTCCGGCCAGTATTAATGCTTAATACAAATAAAAGGGCTAGACATCAAATGTCATATAGAACTATTTCTTCGGCCAAGTAGTACTGATACTGATGTTCAAAACAAGATAATACATCAATGATAATAACACACTCAAGGCTCTCCCTTTTTCCGCAGATCTTATAAAAAAACACTGACTCAAAATTACGTTATTAGGCTAAACTGGGTATATCCTAACAGCGATGCGGATTTATTTTTTTTATCTGTGTAATCTTACCTTGATAAAAAATGCATTGTTGTGTATCTATTATATTGTACTTATCAATTAATCGTAACTTCATTCAGGGAAAGAGGTACGAATGATGTGTGTGAATTTGTGATTAAATGAGACAAATGATTGAGCGAATGTGTGAAAGAAATTGAAAGTCGGAATTCAAATATAAAATATATTTAGGTATATTATCTAGTTTTTCATTTATTTTAAAGTGTGTTTAGCTGTTAGTTAATATCTATAAACTATCAATCGATTATTAGTTCTCTTATGAAAGTATTTATGAAAAAAAAACAAGTGACGAACGTCATGGCGACTTCAAATATCTGTTCAATATTTTAGAAAAAAATGTTGTACGTATTTACTACAAAAAACTATGACACAACAGGTTATTCACAATATACAAGATACATATATATTAGTTAAATACTAGCTCTTGGTTCACAAATTAAAATCCAATGTTTTCGATTTTTTACAATCAAGAACATTACTAGAATTATTTTACCATATTAGCAAATCCTATAAAACCGTATTAGTATGTGTTAGTTTACTATTATTAGAAACCAAAAAGTTGTCTGATTATATACAACAATCTACAGATTTCTGGATAAAAGCTATATCTATACACTTGTCATATTAACAGTAGTTTTATGTACAAATCTCGGTCAAAAAAAAGAGAGAAAAAAAAACGAAATTCACGTAAAACGGATCATGCCTACATACCCTTTCGTTCTCATATAATTATTAATTCTTGTTTCAACACCATCATCACCCACGCTTCTACACCACAATCATCACCCACGCTTCACCACCATCATCATCACCCACGCTTCAACACCATCATCATCATCCACGCTTCACCACCATCATCATCACCCACGCTTCACCACCATCATCATCACCCACGCTTCACCACCATCATCATCATCCACGCTTCACCACCATCATCACCCACGCTTCACCACCATCATCATCATCCACGCTTCACCACCATCATCACCCACGCTTCACCACCATCATCATCATCCACGCTTCACCACCATCATCACCCACGCTTCACCACCATCATCACCCACGCTTCACCACCATCATCATCACCCACGCTCCACCACCATCATCACCATCCACGCTTCACCACCATCACCCACGCTTCACCACCATCATCACCCACGCTTCAACACCATCATCACCCACGCTTCAACACCACCATCACCCACGCTTCAACACCAGAATCATCCACGCTTCACCACCATCATCACCCACGCTTCAACACCAGAATCATCACCCACGCTTCAACACCACATTCAACACCAACATAACTAAGCACCCGTGCTTCAACATCACAATCATCACCCACGCTTCAACACCACAATTATCACCCATGCCTCATCACCAACATATATTAACCTTCACCCATGTTTCAACACCGTCATAATTATCAAAAACGCTTTATCACCAACATAACCTTCAAGCAATTAAGCTTGAATACCGATATAATTAAGTCATCAAAGCTCTAGCATCAATATATGATTAGTGATCTTTGCTTCATTAAGAAAATTATTAATCATTCAGTCTTCACCCGTAAAATAATTAGTTAAACATTGTTTAATAATCTCAATTTCAACATCACTTTCCTTTAAAAAAAAAAGAGAGAGAATGATAATAAACTATTATCAGCACCAAATTTCGTCAAATAAAAAAAGAGAAAGAGAGAGAGAGAAAAAAAAAAGACAGAAGAAACACGAAAAAAGGAGAGAAAGAAAGAGAAAGAGAAAATTCGAAATACTAAAAAAACGAAAAGATCAAAAGAGAAAAAACGAAAAAAAAAGAAAAGAAAAACACATCCTTGATCACATTCACGCCGCTGGACCCCCAAAATGCGCCATGGTCTCCTGTAGCGTCCTGCCCTTGGTCTCGGGGACGAAAAGGACGCAGAAGAGGAAGTTGACAGCACACAGTCCGCCGAACAGCCAGTAGGCGCCGTAGTCGTGGATGGCCTCCTAGGGGGGTGGGAGGGAGACCGAGTTTAGTGCGAGGAGGGAGGGAGGGAGGGAGGGAGGGAGGGAGGAAGGGAGGGAGGAAGGGAGGGAGGGAGGAAGGGAGGGAGGGAGGAAGGGAGGGAGGGAGGGAGGGAGGGAGGGAGGGAGGGAGGGAGGGAGGGAGGGAGGGAGGGAGGGAGGAAGGAAGGAAGGGAGGGAGGAAGGAAGGAAGGAAGGAAGGAAGGGAGGGAGGGAAGGTGGTTGGTGAGGGAGGGTGATTTAGGTTCAGGGAGAAGGGTGAAGGAGGATGGGAGAGCGAGTTTAGTGCGAGGGGGCAGGGTGGTGGTGGTGGGGGTGAGGGAAGAAGGAGGGGAAGATGGGAAAGAAGGGGGGGTGAAGGAGAAGGGTGGGGGGCAGGAGGAGGGAGAGAAAGGAGGGAAGGAGGGAAGGAGGGAAGGAGGGAGGAAGAGAGGGAAGGAAGGGGGAGAAGGGGGGGTGAAGGAGAAGGGGGGGGGGCAGGAGGAGAGAGAGAAAGGAGGAAAGGAGGGAGGAGGAGAGGGAAGGAAGGGGGAGAGGGAAAAGGAAGGCAGAGAAGAGAGAAAAAGGGGCAGATGTGATAAGAAAAAATAAGAAAAATAGAGAGGATCAAAATGTCCACAAAAAAAAAAAAAAAAAAAAAATCAGAAGAAAAATATGTGAACAAAGATAGGTCATTAGCCCTATCTTATCTCTGAAGAACGTTTAACAAACAAATTCAAATTCAGTAATATGTTCAAAGACCTTAACCTTGTCCTAAGTAAAGATATTTTTCCCCTTTATTCATTTTAATTTTCTTTCGATGGTCTTACGAGGAAGAAGAAAGGTAAAAATGAAATCGATTTAGAAATATTATCAAGTGTGGATGTATTTATGGAGTTCATTGATAATGATGTCGTATGTTTATATGTTTATAATGAGTAATGTTATATGTTCAATGAGATTTACATTATTACTTTTTCGTCTTTTTTCATTCTTTTTTCTTTTTGTTTACGGATGAGCTTGTGGTCTGAGATGATAGTTTGAGGTCGCTGTGGCCGAAGATTAACAATTAATCTTAAAATGAAAAATAACTCTCTCTCTCCCTCTCCCTCCCTCCCTCTCTTTCCCTCCTTCCCTCTCTCTCCCTCCCCTCCCCTCTCTTCCCTCCTTCCCTCTCTCTCCTCTCCCCCCCCCCTCTCTCTCTCTCTCTCTCTCTCTCCCTCTCCCTCTCTCTCTCTCTCCTCTCCCTCCCCCCCTCTCTCTCTCTCTCTGAAAAAAAAAAAAATCGTGACGCAACTAATCAACTAAATCACCTCATCAGCTAATCTTATCTTTGGAATTACTGCAATACTTCGTGGGGGTGATTTACTATTGCCATTATTGCTTTGCTATTTTAAAGGGATTTTAGTCACTTTACTAATAATGCTGTTGGGTAGAATAATAAAAAAACGGAATGCGAGAGAGAGAGAGAGAGAGAGAGAGAGAGAGAGAGAGAGAGAGAGAGAGAGAGAGAGAGAGAGAGAGAGAGAGAGAGAGAGAGAGAGAGAGAGAGAGAGAGAGAGAGAGAGAACAAATAAAAAAGAACGAACAGAACAAATAAATAAACAAAAGACTAGAAAACTCAATCTCTAAAATACACAACTTCACCAAGAAAATTTAAAAGAAACGGACTATTCGTTACAGACCCATTTTCTATGATGGACATCCCTCACCTACGCAGATCTGCCTCACAACCAAAATACAACCAACTTGGTCATGCATGGCAAACCCACACAAATTTTCATCTCGGCAAAAACTTTTTACGTTTGTTAGAATCAGTAAGTTATCAGTAAACAAATCAGTGCCAGAGAAAAATAAAAGGAAAAGGCATTGACAAGAAGATGAAGAAAATATGAAAGAGGGAAAAGAAAAAGAAAACTAATAAAGGAGGAGGAAGAGGGGAGCGAGGATGAGGATGAGGATGAGGATGAGAAGAAAAAGAAAAAGAAAAAGAAGAAGAAGAAGAATACAAAGACAAAGAAGAAGACGAAGAAGAAGACAAAAAAGGAAAAGGGAAAAATGAGAAGACCCAGAACCAGAACCAGAATAAAAAACAAAACAAAAAACAACAGTACCTGGAGAGGAGCGAAGACGAAAGTCACAATAAACACAAAGGTCCAATTGAGAGTCGTCGCCATGCTTCCCGCCGCTTCTTTCACGTTCGGGTAAAACAACTCACCTAAAAGTATTCAGAAGAAAATGTTCTTTTTTTACAGTAATACAAATAATAAAACGAAGGATCTATATAAGAAACATTAGTATATCAATTAATATTCATTTAGATAAATAATGCATGCTTATTAAACAAGGCATTTACGTGATAATCTATACGATATACTACTGCCATACCAAGTCATCAATATACCACCTATTAATACTATCTGCTATTTACTTGTTAATTAAACGATCTGATAATTAAAACAATTTGGAAAAGCATTGAGCTCATACGTAAAAAAGACAGTAATGATGTAAACTATTCTTTCGTGAGTGCATCTAGGAAAACATTAAGAATTAATTAGAAAAAGATATTGATAAATAAACTAATCCTCAAAATCTTATTTCGACAAACACGCTAATAATGAAACCTTACATAAGTACACCGACAAACAAAAAAGGAAAATGATAAAAATAGTAATAAGAAAAAAAACTAAATGGTAAAATTATCATCCATCTGACCACTAAAGATTATAACTCAAGATAAAGATAAGAACTGGTGATATGACCTTCGACCTTGTAGAATGCCATATCAATAGATAATCATCTTTATCTTGTCAGTGATTGATTAGATGGTCTGTCCCCGCTAACCTAATAAGTCAATATCTTGTTTTTGTTTTTGCCTGGGGAGATAAATCATAAATGGAATATTTTTTTATTTGTTTCCGCCCACTATGATAACAATAACCGTTGTATACTATCATTGTTAGTTCGGTCACAATTTTCTCCTAAAAAATAATTTAGTCGTCATTATATATATGATGATAACATGGACTGCCTTCTACCAAGCTCTTTTGATCTTATCATTAAAAATGGTATTTCCATAGGGAGCAAAAACAATTCTTTATCAAGTACCTTGAAGTATTTACTGCACGATATATAGCCATTGGAGTTATCAGTCAAAACACATAATTATCAGGAACCACACTGTATTCGGAAGTAAAGTTATTTAGTATTTTAGCTTTATATCTTGTATAAGTATATTCACGAAGAACGTTTTTTCCTCTCTCCTTAAAACAAACAGCAGTTTACATTATCATACTTATACTCCATTAGGAAAGAAAGAAAATGTCTTACCTTGAACTCTGGAGTACTTTGATTCACCAAGACTTAAGAAAAACAAACAAACAAAGAAGCGTTGGTAGCAACAAATAGAAATAATAATAATAAAAAAAAACATTCGCTTAAGTTTTCTTTCAACATACAAAACACGTGTACATAAGTATTGTGTAAAATGATTATAAAAGGAATCGAAGTGCTCCAAAATCAGAGTTATCAGTTATTTCCTGTCTTGAGCCTGAATGCACTAGCGTCTATCTACTCTTGGGAAGTCACAATAGTTCTGGTGTTCTACGTCTAAAAAAAAACAGGCGAGACAGGACTATGAGATATCTTTGCTGCAGTATAATGTAGTATAAACATATTCGGTATTTCGTTATCCCTGTATGTCCCTGCTATTGACAATCTTTGGGGATTTTTTGTTTAAATGGCAAAGCAAGTAAAAATGTCACTGTAGATTGAACTCTAGGAATTCAGTTCAGTGTAACTTAGTTTTCTGAGAATCTGCAACTTCGCAGATTTTTCTTCATTTACATTTAGGCATTTTTATGGGACAGGAACTTGTTAGGATAATGGAAAAATGGTCCATTAGGAACCTCCCTTGAAATCTCCCAGGTTACAGACTTGCAGGTGAGTTGTAAGCTTAGTATTAACACTATTATTCTAGTTATCATTATTATTATTATTTTGCGTGATATTTGCTCTTTCGATGATCCAGTCTGCCTGACTCTTCGTTTAAAAAAGAATCACAGCTTCACGTGTAACCAGGATTCTTTGTAAAGATATATAATCAGTTTATTACGTTCCCGATATTTATTATATGTTACTTGCTACTCATTCATAAATCTCATCATTTCCATATATCTTATTCCACTCTGCCATAGTTATATACTCATTTACTACCTTTACTTTCTCAAGTCTTGAGCCTCGGGACCCAATTTTACTCATGCACTCTACACCCTCACCAACTTACCCATCATGACCCACGGAATAGGGCCATAGCCAATCGAAAAGGCAGAGATGAAGACCATGAGTGAAGTGAGGGGAAGCCAGCCTAGATGTTCATAGGCAAAGGATTCGTCCGTTGACTTGATATAAAAGAAGATGCCGAGACTGACTGTGTGGGAGAGTGAGACAATTATAGAAAATGGGGTGACATTAAAAAAAGAAGTTAATCAATAAAAATAATAAAGTCAAGATTAAAAGCTAAATTCATTCAAATATGATTTTGCTGTTGCAATTCCTGTTATCAGTGGATTTGTTATTACTGTTTTGAAACATGGATAGCGTGTTAACTGGCAGGACTGTTATTTGATAATGTAATCTGAAAGTTTACAGTATAGATTGGATTTCCTATTTCTGTAGAAACAAGGTTTGCGTCGGTGCCACGCTGTCTTCGGCCATAGGTTATGCGGTCAGATGGTCAGTGATCAAGACCTAAGGGTAGGGATTGGGTATGGTTCATATGGATGCAAATTCTTGAATTTAGAAAATTATCCTGTTTTTACCACATCTTTCGCTTTGTTTCTACAACAACCACTGGCCATCATAATAATCTTTCCTTTTTGAAACCAACCTTTCTCAGTTCTTGAACTAATTACATAGCTGAAATAATTGCGTGATGAATAAAACATAGTACAACATTCACTCATTCTTCTCTTTGCGATTGCTCACATTTCATAACATAGCCTTCCTTATCTTTCATATTTTTCTACAGACAAAATCAAGAGGAACATTTGTATAATAAAAGTAGCCACAGAACGTCAAGTTAAGATAACATGTTACTTGTCTATGTGGACGGGGCCTCCGATATATCTAGATTGATCAGACTTCAATACAGCTAGAACTACTACTGTCATAACTGATATTTACAATGATATTCCTACATGTTCAAGCAACTGCGATTATACCATAACCATCATGACAGTTACTTTTATGAATAGTAATAATAATGACACCAATTATAACAATAATAGATGCCACTTTTATTTTTTTAATGAAATAGCCCAAGAAGCAAACATTTAAAACCATTTCACCGATTACTCAAAACATCATCACCAAACACCACCACTAATAAGTAAATTCTCTTGCAACTGTTTCATGTTACTAAACACCTCATACCAAACACTACACAAACACCCCACTTACCTATGGAAAGTGACATGGTAAAAGCAGAGAAACTTAGCAAGAATTTCCTGCCGGCTCGGTCGATCAGGAAAGAACCTACAGCTGTTGCGATGACCTGTACAAGACCTACAACGATGCTGCTCAGGTCATCTGATATGCTGGTTCCGGAGGCCTGGGGGATGGAGATAGGCCTAGGTAGTCTGGAGCAAAATGATGGAATGGTGGTTCTCGTTTTTCTCCTTAGGCTTACTTAGTTTTTTTTAAAGGGATTTTTTACTCTTTTTTTGTTGCAGCGAGACGGTTTTATTGACAAAAGACAAAATCGTTTTCTCAATTTCATCCGGGAACTCGAGGTTGGGAACCACAGTATCAGAGTGAGGAAATTAATTCATTCAGTCGTCAGTATTTATCGTAAATTGGCAATATGAAGATGATGGTAATGATAAATGATAATGATAATGATGAAGATGAAGATGAAGATGGTGATGATGACGACGATGCTGATGGCAGCGATAACAATGAAGATGATAACGACGAGTAGATGACGATGACGAAGACGACGATAACAACAACAACAACAAAACTTACCTGGAAGATGAGATTAATGTTGTATATGACAGCGTTGACGCCCGCTACCTGCTGAAACACCATAAGGGCGAGAGTAATGGCCAAGGGCTTCAAGATATAAGGTTCCTTGAGGTCAGATAAGGACACCTTGTTCTTGGCTGCCTCCTCCAGGGACTCCTTCAGGGCTTTCATCTCCGGCTCGATGTCGTAGGACTTTCCTGTAGGCGGAGGGCGTGAGGTTAGGCGAGGGGCGTGAGGTTAGGCGAGGGGTGTGAGGTTAGGCGAAGGGGAGGAAGCGAAACAGAAAAATAAGAGTGAGGAAGATATAATGAGAATAGAGAGGAAGAGGGTGTGAAATAGAGAGGGAGAGAGGGAATCGAAACTGAAAGAGAAATAGATACAAAAAGCGAAATAAAAAAAATATAGCGATGGGACGAGAAGCAGGATCAGAAAACCATCGAAATTCTGAACAGAAATGCCACTAAATCATAAAAAAACGAATAAAGGGTAAAAACGAAAACGAATCTATATGACAACAGCTAATGATTAAACAAAACAACGGTACTACCTCATCTACTACTACCCGCCTTGGATCCGGGTGCTTCACGGGTCGTGTGCGGTCCAAAATCCGGGCTATTTGGATCGGTGACTAGTGTGGCTAGTTGACCTAGGAGACTCGAATACTCACGCGTGGAGACGAGCCTCTTTACCTCCGTGATTAGCCACTTTTTTCTTGGTATATTGTCATTATACAAGGTTTATATTCGTAATCTGTTATGGTGTATCATAATGACAATGGACTGTTTTCATTAAGCAGACTCCAAATAGCTTATTCTCTGTATAATGCGGGTGATATTGTGTTAAATTTCGATATTATTTAGATGTAAAATATTTCCTTACGCTACAAAAAGAATAATCGATTCTTTTCGTTGCTTACACTTCATATTGTCTGTTCAAGTAGCCTACACGGCGCAGGAATAAAGATTTTTTTTGCAAACGCGTTTTTGATGTTTTGCAATCTTCCGAGGCCTACATTTGTCATGCTGGTAATAAACTATTTTCGTCGAGAAGACTCCATATTATATCTCAAAATAGCTTACACTCTGTGCAGTACAGGTAAGGTTATATTTGCGTCTCTCGTATCGTTCAGTTTCCAAAAATAAACATTCACCTACGCTACATCAAAACAGTAACAGACCGTTTCGTCGATCGCGCTTCATGTTATATCCAAGTAATTTACATTCTGTTCATTACAAGAAACATTACGCAAATGAAGGATAAACTAAAAGAGTTTTTCCTCTTGTACATATTTATTTTGTCTATGCACATCATGCATACTTTTCTTGAGTGTGATGGATCTGGAAATATTGGCACAAGATCACTTACATAGTGCGGATCTATGCACACCATGCGCGTAGTACATCTTGCACCGCCGATAACGACGGTCAAGTGCAGGTACCTGAGCATGGACGTGTCCTCTCTGAAGACGGCCCTCTCCCAGGCATGGCTCACAGACGGTACTTTCCAACCTCGTGGGCCGGTGGAAATCCTGCAGGAGCTCTCCTTCCTGTAGGCCTGCTGAGTCCATGTCTCTCCCAGTGATTTGCGCACTAAGGAGGCATTGGAGACCGTTATCTCAATCAGTTGGACTTGCGAGAGGTAGGGTATGACTGAGCCAGCTGGTCACTCATGTCCACCCCCTTCACCCCGACATGGTAGTCGACAACCACGCGAAGCTTCAGCCTCTGTCGGTCCGAGATTGTGACCACCTCGCTCTTGTGAACCGTCGACAGCATTGTGATGGGCCTAATTGAGGGTACAACATGCCCGTCTTCGTGCCGCGACAATTCACACCACCACGGGTCTTTCCTGCAGGTCTTTTGGCAACCGTGCCAACCGCACTGACCCACCGACTCTGCATGTAGTGGAAAAGGCAAGGAGAGGTGTACCCATTATCCAAATTTTCCAAACAGGTCTGCGGCGCCTATCAAGTCGATGACGACATAGGCGTGTCTTATTTGTCCTGGCCCATGTAAATTCGGAAGGCGCTGACGTAGCCTGAGAACGGGCCTGAAAAAAAAGAAAAACAAAAAAATCATAATGCAACCTAGGCACATACAGATATATGCAGCCAAGGTACCAGGTGAATGTGCACTGTGAACTTCTGGGCTGATACTGAAGTGGTATCGCAGGCTGAACCTGAAAACAGAAGACAAGGTATACAATACTGCTTACAATGAAGGATATCACGTATACACATAGAAAAATATGCAGGTATACACAAAATAGGCAGAAAAAGGAAATGAAATGCTTACTAGTTTGTGCCCCGAACGATAACATCGATAAGTTCATTTGTAACGAAGCAGCGACAGATTTCCTTCTCCTCCTCTCTCTCTCTCTTTCTTTATCTATCTATCTCTCTTTCCCTCTTTCTCTCTCTCTCCCTTTCTTCCTCCTCTTCTTTCTCTCTATGTACAATAAAAAAAATCAATTTCCTACAGTGCTAGAACGAATTCTCGCACTCCAGTTATTCCAACTTATGATGATGTGATCGCCGCCCGCTCCTCGGACAAATTTTTTCAGGACGTGATGTCGGCGTCTGGATCGTAGGGGCTAAATTACTATCAAGGGTAATGATAATAATAATAATAGTAATAATAATAATAATAATAATAATAATAATAATAAAATCATAAATAACAATAGTAATAATAATAACAATAATAATAACAGTAATAATAACAATAACAACAACAGTAATAATAACAATAACAACAACAGTAATAATAATAACAATAATAACAACAGTAATAATAATAACAATAACAACAACAGTAATAATAATAACAATGATAACAACAGTAATAACAATGATCATCCTCATTACAACAATCAAAAACCCACCTCGAAAATACTGCATCGACGCCCTCGCTTCCTCCTCCTTGCCCTTGGACAGCAGGAACGTAGGAGACTCCTTGATGAAGATCGCCAGCAGGAAGTAGACGCCCCCGACGGCAGCGCAGACGAGGACCAGCCACCGCCAGGACTCCACGACGGCGCCGAAGAGGTAAGCGTAAAGAATGCCGATGGTAATGAAGAGTTGGAAGCCAGAACCTGCGAATTCAAGGAAAGGTGAATTCAGGGTATAGCAACGCCATCTATGTGTAGCGACATTTATCAAAAAAATATATTTAAAAAATGAGCATAGCAATTTCCCCCCTATTTTTTTATTCATTTTATTCATGGGTTAGCGTTTGGGTTGATGTGGGCGGTTCTGGTGTTGGTAGTATTAATGATGATGACAATGATGATCGTTATTCTGTTATAAGCATCATCATTATCAGTGTCATTATTATCACTGTCAGTATCATTAATATCATTGTCAGTATCATTATTATTATCAGTATCATTATTATCATCGTCAGTATTATTATCATTATAATTAGTATTATTTATATTATCATTATCACTACTTCTATTACTAATATTATTTCCAATATTATCATCAAACACTTTATCATATTAACTTTCCTGTGGAGTTTGTTAGAAATAATAGCAGAAGAAAACGATGACAGAAAACGAATCTTTACCACACAGAAAGGGTAAACTAAAACTAAACACTCAAAATAGATGACAGGATTATATATCACTATCCAGGAAATGCGGTTGAAAAAAATATATATAAACAATTGCGAAATATGAATATATTACGTGAATGATAAGAACAAAATAAACACAAAAATCAACACCAAAGTATACCTAATGTGCCCCGTATGTCTTTCGAAGCATACTCAGTGGTATAAGTCGGGCATACCAATGACGTAACTCCAGTACACAATCCGCATAAAACACGACCGGTTACGAGCATGCCGATGTTCTGTGCAAAACCTGAGAGGAAAGGATAAATAAACAAAAGAAAAATGAATAAATACATAAATAGGGCAATGGATAAATGGTTAGAGGAATAAGTAAATGAATAAATGGCGGAATTAAAACATGGTTTAAGGGATGAATCATTAAATGAGATGACGAAATTAATAAGTCAATCACTGGAGGAATTACTAATGAATAATTAAAATAATAAGAATAGCGGGATAAGTAATTAAATAAGGCAAATTAATGGATAAGTAAATGATAACGTTAAATATTTGAATAAACATACATAATGAAAAATAAAAATAAAAAATTGATTCGTCATTAATAGGAGTTAATTATACATAGTTCGAAATTAATTATAATAAAGCAATATTTCAATAAAAAACATTCAGTCCAAAAACTCGTAATTTATTATTTTTTTCTAAACCAACTACAACTATGATCACACTCGTATTTTTTTCTCTATGTAAATCACAATCATACTAAATCAACCACAACACTTTCTAAACCAATCACACAACTTCTAAAACTATTTTCTACTCTTTCTAAACCAGGTATTTTTCTTAACCAGTTACAACCTCGTCTAAACCAATCATACCATTTATAAACCCTATCCAAAAACTCACGACCGTTTTCTATACATCAGTCAATACCTTATTATATACTAATCACGTTTTTTTCATCTCTTTGCCTTAGTCACTACAGCTAATAGCCTGAGTTCTTTCTTGAATAATTGCAATCTATATAAACCGATCACTGCTCTGTCAATCACATATCTCCTTATATTTAAACAAATCAATATTTCTCTTTCTAAACAACCATCCCCTTTCTAATCAATCATATCTCTTCATTTTACATCACGCCTCCTCTTGGTAAACAAATCACAGTCATTCCATATCACCTCTTTCTAAATCAGTCACGCATTTCCTTTCTAAACCAATCTCCTTTCTAAACCAAATACGCCTTTCTAAAAGTTAACCGCGTTTCTATCAAGTCTAAACCAATCTCTACTTCTTTCTAGACCAAACAAGTCGCTTCTTTCTATATTAACTCCTCCTCCTCCTAAACCAATGGCACTTTATAACTCGAATGAGTACTCTTACTAAAAAAAAAAATATCTCTTCTTTCAAACCAAACCCACTCCTCTTTCTAAAAACCAACCACGCCACCTCTTTCCCCCAACTAACACGCAGCCCACCACCCCCTCCAAAACCCACCTATCAACGCCCACCCTAGCATGAGCGGCACGAGCGAAGCCAGCATGGTTCCCTTCCTCCCCAAGGTGTTCAGACTAAACCCCGCGACCACACAGCCGACCAGGGCACCGGCGCTAAGGGAGGCGGCGAACCAGTTGTTTTCCATCGGCGTCAGTGTCAGTTGGTGATCGTTCTCCGCCAGCCATTCAGGGGCGCTGGTGGTATTGTCCGAGGTGTTTGTGGGCGGTTTGGAGAGCAGGGCGGCACTGGCAGGGGAGGAGTATCCTATGGCTGAGCCCACGGCCATGGCGCCCATGGAGGCTGTGGGCGTGATGGGGGGAGAGAGTTGCTACGGTGATATTTAGGCTTTTTTTTGTCTTGATGTGGATTTTAAGAACAGAAAAGCTTGCTATTTAGGATAAAAACGTTAATATTTATGATGATCTATAGATAATATTACGTTACTGTTTTTTAGATTCATCTAGACTGATTAATCGATCCATCAATTTGGCGACTGGATGATTAATTCGAGGACTGATTAAGATTGATTTATCAATCGTGCAATATAATTTGCTTGATTGACTATTTTGGACTGACTTAAATGGTTTCTTCACTGACTGTGCTTATTTGCTTGAATGGCTCATTAATTACCTATAAACTGATCAATTTGATTAAACAACAGAATGGTAGAGTGGTAATTCGGTTACTAACTGATAATCTGACAGTGATTAAATTTCTTATCTGGTTTGTGACCTGGATAAAGTGTTTTGACTTAAAGAAGAGTGACTGATTGACTGATTAGCTACTTACTGATTACAAACTATTACTTATTACAAATTGATAATATGAATTACCATCTAGCAGTTTACCCATTTGTTCCTTATTTCAATTCCTCTTTTGAAATAAGGAACAGAGAAAACAGATAATTCGTGATAATTAATACATTCTTATGGCAGTATATATCCGATACCTAGAGAAACGTTTAATAAAAATGGACTATTATAGCTGACGAACAGACCGACTGACTGGCAATTACTACGTTGCCTCAAGCATTAGCCAATCAGCTTCTGGAATCTTCAGACTCTCTCGCCCATTGGTCAGTACAATGCTTTAAAATCGACCAATCACTGAACACAAAGTCTTAAATTCCAGCCAATCTGTAAATTTTCAAAATCCATAAAACTAACGGGACTGATGCAAGATATACATTATCGGTGAATGAATTTTAGTGGGAAAAAAAGTAAAACAGTTATAACAGAATTCAGTTGAAAAGGATCTCAACGCCAAGGAAAGTGAGGATACGGAGATAAATGAAAATATACGAGAGAGAGAGAGAGAGAGAGAGAGAGAGAGAGAGAGAGAGAGGAGAGAGAGAGAAAGAAAGAGAGAGCGAAGGAAGAAACAACAGAAAGAGAACAAGAGCGAAAATAAAGAAAAAAAGAGAGCTGTAGAACTTACCAGAGAGAGCAGCCAGGTACTGTGTCCTATGGGCTGGTTTCCTCCACTCACCCACGAGCCCCAACGTAGACATCTGGATTTCGACCATTTTTTTTTTTTTTTTTTGTAAAGTTATTTATTTTTTCCTTCGTTCTGGTAAAGAAATAGAAAAAAAATCTGTTAACCCGTACCTGCATTATACA